TATATAAAATTTAATATAAATTTTTTGTATAATCCTCATTATATACAGTGCATTTTCCTATTTCAAAAGCAAAAATCAGATTCACAGTGGAGTGTTTTGTTTAAACGCAGTATCTTCTCTCTCTCTGATAAAAATACTCCTCTCTTGCTTTCTGTTCTCTCTATTTGAGAAAGCAGATGATTGCGCCACGCTCTTAGAGCAGGAAGAGGAAACTCTGCAGATGGTTCTGTATTTGTGTGAGAAATCATTCCACAGTTTACTACTTGGTCCTTAAGAAAGCTCCAGATCAGATAAAATTTGCAGTTCACACAGAGTGATGTATTATGAAGAATAAGCAGTAAATACACAGGTAATCTCTGTCACTTTATAGGTGAATCATATTCAAACTGTGCCCTAATAGACCTGAATGCAAAGTTGTACATTTACAAGAGATTACAATCCCTACCTCCAAAGTGTTGGAAGGTCACAGCACAAGAAAGAATACTAAGGGCCCTTCAACCCAGTAGGAAAGTCATAAAAAACAGTCCTATGGCAATAAATTAAAAGCCAGAGAAAAGGCTTTTTTCAAAGCCTTTTTTTCTCTTTTTTTTCAAAGAGAAAATATGGCATATTCTTCCTTGCTCAATGGGAACTTCAGTCATTTAAAAAAATAAATGTGTTGTGTCTTTTCATAACTTCGAGAGGATTCTGCTCTGTCAGAAGGTTCAACCAGCTGAGCAAATACAGGTGACACGATCTGTCCTGCAGTATAGAAGAGAGGTTTATTACTCTTTTCAGGGTTTAAAATGCATAGGTCACATTGCGGGAAAGTCAAATTCCCTACATTGAATTCTAAGCCTGACAATGTCCTGGTGAGGACATGGTCTCACTCAGTAAACAACAGAAACAGACCAAGGTGCAGAGGTCCAAGTGTAAAGACAGTATTGCAGCAGCATTGTTGAGATAAACAGGACTGCTCATAACAGCAGGGCATCCTGATGCTATGCAGTAAGTGGGCCAACCTTTTCGAAGTTGAACCCCCTTAACACTGGATGCTTCAGCACCAAGCTGTGCTGTCATGGTCTGCCTCTGGCAAACAGAAGTTGTGGTGCCAAGCATGAGGTCTGCATTCAAACACAAATGGTAATATTTCTGAGCAATTTCCACAGGACAAGACTCCTCTAAGGAGAAGACTTGACTCACTTCTGACTCCAGAATGACAGGATATGACACCTGAGCAGGAGCTGCTGACAGGATCTTTTCCACCCTCCATCAAGGAAGTCAAGGTGCTCTGAACATCTAAGATCAGCCGAGCTTTGTCCTAGGGAGGGGAACTAGCAGCATATCTTCCCTAGATAACCTTGTGCAGCTGGAAGAAAGCATCATGGGAGAAGTAAAAACCTATAAGCTCCTTAGTCAGCACAAGTTTCACCAGTGCAGAGCCCTTCATGACTCCTATATTTTCAGATGCTCTGCAGGACACAGGTTAAGCCTGGGGAAACACAGAAGGATGACATCAGCCATTACTGCAGACAAAGAAGCATCGGTCACTTAAACAGAATTTGGGACGCTCTTTCCACTATCTTCTTCCAGCTGCACAGCAGATCCACAGGTGGATGAGGCTCTGAGCAACCTGATCTAGTTGAAGATGTCCCTGCTCATTGCATGGGGGTTGGACTAGATGACCTTTAAAGGTCCCTTCCAACCCAAACCTGATGAAATCATCCCTGGAAACAGCAGGTAGATGCTATTTCTAGGATCAGTTACTTTCCAAGCTACTCAGATGGTAAGTAGTCTTTAAGACCCTGAATATTTCTCCTGTTGTCCTCCATCTATTCACTGAGAGGCATGTGCTTTTCACAGCTGACGTGCTAGCAAAGATGGCAAGGGCATCCTTCTCAGCATAACCGAGGCATCCCAACCGTGCAGTGCCCAAGTCCAGCTCTCTCAGCCTGAGTCCCACAGTTTGCTTTCACTGATGTTTCTGGAGACTGAATCTTCCACATGAGCTGCAGTCTTGGTAGGTACCCAGCATGATTTCACTAAACTGACAGAGTGTCACTGACTAGAGGTCAGCAACCAGCCACCGAGCTGATCACTCCCTCAGAGCTGTAGGACAATCAACTGTTTCCCAAAGCTGGTCTGCTCTGGGGAGATTTCAGCCACCACCACTCATCTGGTGGATCTCTAGTATGCTTGTCCTTGGGAGCTGCACTACCACAGTGCTCTTTACAGTGGGGGAACAGATCTGCACAGAGGAGACTGTGCTGCAGGGACACCAGAGCAAACCTGGGGCCTCTAACCCACTATCCTCTCCAGCCACCACAGAAAAGTTCTTCGCATTTCCATCAGATGCAGGTGAAGCACAGGCAGGAGCCAAGAAGAGCCAGGCAGACTGTTTCCTGACACAAGACTGAGGTTTCCTGGCCTACTGCACCTTGAGGAGCAAGAAAACTCTGCAATTGGAACATGACGTCTAACAGCTGGAAAGAAGGACCAAGAGCAGTGATTTCCCAAATGAGGGACCAGGAAGTACCTGGCTATACTCAGTTTTGTCTCTGACTGACAGAAGAGCTACGCAAAAGAGAAACACAAGAAATATTAATGGGTTTTTCAGTGATCAACAGCTAAGATGGACAAATCTTCAGGACACACTAACAGTGAACCACATCTGTGCCAGCTCATATTTTGCCTGAAGTGGAAAGGATTTGTCATCTCCCTCCCAGAAAGTCTTACTCCAAAACCAAGAAAGAAAAGCCTCCATTTTACAGTTGAGGGAGCAGCAAAGAGCCAAGTTCACACAGACAACTAGGCCAGCGCTCTCATGTAATACATGGGTCTGGTACCATTGTACTGTCCTAAAGGAAGAAACCTTCAGGCAAGCCATTAGTACTGACAATGGTTTCTGCCTCTTGCCAGTGGCAGCAGCACTCTGCTCCCAACAGTTCCCTGGAAACACTGCCTGCAGAAAGCCCACTGACACAAAGGATCAGGCAAGCTTACTGAAAACTTGGAAACAAATTCAGGAAGTTAATCGTAGTCAGAGGATGAGCTAAAGCAGCAAGACACAGGACTTCAAACTTTGGCGCAGAACACCATACACGTGCCGGGGGCTTTATGGATCCTCTAGTGCCACCTGCCCCCTTCTGACATCCCAAAGTGCTGCATGTCAAGACTTGAGGGGATTCTGTAGGGGGGGGCTGCATGAGAAGCAAAAAATCATTAGCTCCAGTCCACCTTTCTCATGCAATGGCACAGTGTCCTGAGTTAGATCCTCCCCCCTCTCCCAAAGGGTCATGCACAGCACTTGGCAGATTCCTGAGGCGTCTACCCCTTCAGGGCTACCCACCACTCCCAGAAGTATGCATTTATTTTCTTCCACCTTCTCTTTCCTCGGTGCACAGCAAATAGAAAGTGACCTTTCCACCTCAGCCCTCTTTGGTTTTTTACATTTCTTCCATCTCACTCCTGATCTGCAGCAGCCATTCTCACCTCAGGTATGGAAAAAGTAGGGAAAGGAGGTGAAAGCAGGGGAAGAAACAATCATTGTGTGTTTGTGATCAGTCAGTTCCAGAAGCCACTTGACCCAGAGAGATCAGAGTTTCCCCTACAACAATGGGTGAGCCTGGGAAGCAAATCAAGCAGACTGAACGATTTTTGGCAGAGAGAGAACAGTAGGAGTGGTACAGACCTCTTCCTCCTCAATGCGAGCAGGTTCAATCAGCAGATTATTGGCTTGATCAAACGACACCCCCTGTTAGGACAGGAACCAGCAAAGAGGCATGCGGATTAGTGGAGCATAAACCAAACCCACCACCACTACCACCACCACCCAACACACAAACGCACACCAGAGCAGACCCCACTCACACCACTCCTGATTACCACCTACCAGCGAGTACCAGCGACAGGGCTGCTCCCGGGGCTCACAGCATGCAGAGTGTCAGCGCTCTTCGGCCCAGATAACTGGAAGCTGCATCTTAAAGGCCATATTTTGTCTGTGTTGGCACTCTGAGGCTGTGACCAGCAAGCTCACAAGCTGAACACTACTGATCTTACCCCCTCTGTACCGAGTCATTCAATGAAGAAGGAAGGATTAAACAACACAGGAGAAAAGCACATAGGGACCTCTGGTGCCACCCAGCTGCTGCACAGGAATGAAGCAATCCCAAATCAAACTGCATTGGTCCCTCCTGCAAAGGGAAGAGCCTTCAGTGCAACACTGCATCCTGTCAGACACCCAGGGATCCTGCTCCCAAACACAGGAAACCTTAGAATTTCTCTTGAAAACCAACTGTCTTTGCAAAAAACCCTCCGGTTTAAGGATTCAGCCTCCTGCACACCCTGTCTTACCTCCTTCTTCAATGCATGCATGCAGTACCTCTTACTTGAAACTCCACTGCACAGGGACACTGGTCCCCACATTCCCACTTCTGGAAGACAGCTCAGGAGGCACGCTAATAAATCTGCCTTCATGGAGCAGGTATCAAACCCACCCCCAAGAAAAGGAAAACTGTGATTTCCAGGCAGAAGGCTTAGCCGATAACAAAGGTAACTTTCTGGTCAATACACCAAACCCATGGTCTCAACACCTATGTAGTCTTCACAGGTTTTGCCAATGGGTCAGTGCATCCTCAGCTTTGAGTTCCCATATAAAGTAAGTTTTTTGGGTCAGGGCATTTCCCAAGTATGTCAGCTCTTGGATGAAGGGGACTCAAGATGGCTTCACACATTCTTACGAGCAGCAGCAACTCCTTTTCATTCTGAAGACCTTCACAAACAGTAAGGAAACTACATGCCTTGTCCCTAGGGAGCAAGGAACGACCTGTATGAGCTCAGACACAGCAAGGCAGGCATCCACTGAGAGAAAGGCTCCAAAGCAAACTTGAGTGTAAGAACATTCCCTGAGCAATCTGAGCTCCAGCATGGGGTGGAAACAATCCCAACAGTCTGGAGTGTGTGCAGTAAGCAAGAACAGATTTTACTCCAGCACCTTCCACTAGTTCAGAGACCTACATCTCATCCCTGAGATTTGTTGGTGTCAGACTATCATGGAGATTCAGACACATCTTAATCCCCGCCTGCCAAATACACCTCACAAAATCATCACACCAACTTCAGTAAGAACTGCTCTGACCTCATACAGTGCCCCTTATCAGTATATTCCTATTCTACGGTGAGGATCTTCCTCAAGCAAGAATCTCTGTGTGTCCCTAGTCAAACATGGTGATTCAGCTGAGTAGAGCCAAGGACCTCCTATTTCATCGGCCCCCAGCATAACCAGAAAAGCCCATCGTGGCCCCATGGGTAAAACTCCAGAGCACAAGTTCCCCCAAATCCCAATACACACTTCATCAGACTGCATCTGCACTGGGGCAGGCACAGGGTAGAACCAAGGGGAAGGGTATGTTCCTGTCTGCTCTCACTACCCACTCCTCTCCAGCAAGCACCGTGGCAGAAAGACAAGCGTAAGCAGCCTGAACATAAGCCTGAGATTAGAACCATCCAGGGACAAAGCTCATTCTGTTGCAAATGAGGTGCAACAACCAGTGAGGAGGCAATTGAAAGGAACGGAAGAATCCCTGTCAGTGGTGGGACAAAAGAACTGTTCTTGCAGCACAGAACACAACATCACACATAATGGGGAGGGTGCAAGAATCCGGATATAGCACAAGGAGTCAGACATAAGCAACATGACACAGCTCTTGGACAATCATATGAGACCCAGAAAGAACTTCAGCTCTCCCACCCTCAGCATGTCTCTCCTGAAGTGCTGGAGCCTCTTGCCAATGTTTTCATTGGTACCACATCAACTTGGTTGGTAGTTCAAGGGAGGTCTGGCACCCCTCTGATGTTCCCCCCTTCCCACAAGACCTTACCTTCACTGACGGCTGAGCAGATAAAGCTCCATTTTTTCTGTCATCCTCATCCCACACTTCCTCCTGATCCTCGGGCTCTGTGTTGTTATTGCAGCCTCCTAACTCCTCTTCCTCTTTGGGGACTCCATCACTGTTCAGCCCCTGCAGGAGTGCCACCACTGCCTCTGGCTTGGGCAGTTTAGTTATCTTAAAGTGTTTCTTATAATGGGGCGTGTCCTTGCGGATAAGCCTCTGTTTCTCCACTGGGAATGGTCGCTCTTCATCTTCATCCTCATCCTCACTCCGTATTAGTGTGTCCTCAGCAAAGTGCACAGTGGGCTACAATGGCAAAGCCCCAGAAAGTTTGTGAGCCTCAGGTAACAGCCATATCTGGAGACAGCACAAAAACCTGCTGTCCCCCCACTACCAACGCCGGCAAAGCCAGTGCTGCTGCTTTTGTGCCACAGAAGAAGCAGGAATACATGTTAAAATTTCACCGTACTTGCCTTTTTCCATATTGAGTCCTTCACCACACATCATCTGTCAGCTCCAGGTACTGAGGGCACTCAAACCTGTAACCCTGATTTTCCCATAGTCCCTGTCTGGCTCCCACACTGTTCTTCCTAGTCTCCCATGGACCCAGCTCCCACAAGCTGCCTGACTCTCTACTTGCACTTGGCCTCCACAGCCTGTAGTTGCCTCCAGTGATACCCAAATCACACTCAGTACATCCATTGACCATTTTCTCTGAAACTTTCAAGTCCTTCCACTTTTTATCATAACCCTGCTGCAGCTCCTAGGCTCCTACCTCATTGTATTCCACTTCCACATCTTCTTCCTCTTGGTCAGCAGCTTCCTTATGCTCCTCTTCAGCTCTGGGCTTTGCCTCCTTCTCCAGCTCCTGCATCTCAGGCACCCGTCCATTTGGCCAGCTCCTCTCTCCCTCCTCCTCTCCCCTAAAGTCAGCAGAGGCAGTGCTGTTGGAAAGGTGCGAGTCCTCACTGCGATTTGACATGGCGCTCAGCCTCTTCTCCTGAGAAGATGATTGTAAAAGTCAAGATGGAAACCAAAGCAGCAGGTGAAGCAATGTAGCGTGATGGTGCAAGGTGGGGTATGATCTAGTACCAACAGAACCAGCTGCTTCTTCAGGCTGCCCGCTGCTTTCCCTGCCAAGTCTGCTGCCTCTCACCCAGGTCCACCCCTGTTCCACCATCTATGTAGACATTTATTCTCAGTATCACACCTGGGCAGCAAGAGGCCTCCCCAAGCACTCTGTTCCCATCATTCTTTACTGGGAATATCAGAGCCTTCCTTTCCCCTCCCTGTGTTATGACAAAAGTGGTACCAACACACACAATTCCCCTTACGCTGTTCTCTGTCTCCTGGTTGCATCTCTTGCTCTATCTCAGCGGCCCCAGCTGACACCACAAGGCAGATTCCAACCCTTGGAATCCAGGCAATCCATGCTCAGTCCCTTCCAACTTTCCGAAAAGCATGTTCTTTCTGCCCATCTTACACGTCCTGCCTCCCCATTCCCCAAGCCCGCTACATGTTCTCTATGGTTAGCCATTTCTTAGTGAACAGCACTCACTTCTGAGTTCGGAGAATTCAGGTCCATGTCAGGCTTTGCAGCATATACCTCGTTGCGCCGAACTTCAATCACTTTCTTCATAACCTTCAGTTCACTGGGATGAGGGGTTGCCCTGCGCTGTAAGCCCTACCAAAGAAAAACTCTCAGAGCAGGAGATTCAACAGTCAGAGCAGCGTGTGTCACGCCTCAAGACTGAACCAGTTCAAATAACGTTTTATCAGAGCACTAGACCCCAGCTGGACATGACCTAAATGTCGCGTTGCAGGATCTGATCTGGGCCTCTCCATCACTATAGCCTAGAGCTGGGAAAAGGAAAGAAATGGAGGCAGATAACATTTCTCAGAGCTCTCCCTCAGACATTATCCTGCTTTCCATTTGATAGAGGGATTGAGAGGAATTATAGAGACGGGAAGTTTTAAATTGTGCTTCAGGCTTAGTAAATGCGAAACTGTCAACACAGAAACCCCTAAAGGAACACACAGGTGGAATATCTTCTTAATCCCTCTGATGTTTCTTAAATGTCTGACAAGCCCGTGTGCTAGCAGAATTTGTGATGCTTAGCTAGTTCCACCCCAGCTAAGAGTCAAGAAAAACAGTATTCTAAAATTAATAACAATGTTAAAAACAATCAAAAAAACCCCCACAACACCAGCAGCACACCCATGCTGCAAGGACAGATGCAAACATAATTTATTAGAAGGATTCAGATCTCAAGAAAATCTCTTTTCACAAGACAAAGGGAAAAAAATCCTTCAGGAGATTTAAACCAACAGAGTACTTCCTGAAAACTGAAACTTTTATCCTGCCCTTTGCATCTGCAATTAAAGCAAAATGATCTGCCATAGTTGTTAAGTCTCTCTACAGTGTTCAGCTACTTCAGTAACAGGATACTTCACAGCATGGGCTTGCATCGGGCTCCAGGCTTGAAGGGTTGGAGATTGCCTGGCTCGAGTCTGGCTGTGCAGTTCTCCCCCATGGAGGGGGTCAACTAAAAGTCCTGACAGTGCTCTATTAGGATCTCTGGACTACCCGAATGGTCTATGGGCAGGTTAGCAGTCACAGCTCAACTCCCATGGGGCAGCCGTCAAACTGTAAATCTGCACAAAGGCTCTCAGGGAATTCTCTTGTATACCTGCTTGTCTCCTCCGGGCACCAAATGCCCTTTGGACTGCAAAAATGTAGTACATGTCTGTAGAGTATCACAGGGGCTGTGAAACATGAACACCACAATGGTTCCCCATCTTAGGAAAAAAGTTTAGATTGTGCCTATGTTTCCATAGGGAGCTAACAAGCCTCGAGAAACTCTCCTTCTTACCCGTCTCTCAGCTCCAGACTCATCTTCATCATCCACTTTGGGTTCATCCAGGAATTGAATCACACTGACTCTATTTAAATTGGTGTCTGTCCAGCTCTCATCCACACTGTTCTGCAAAAGATTCTCTGGGGAGAAAGATAACACAGTGGGAGGTAATTTCTGAACAAGCAGGGTTGCAGCCTTGGATGAAAGACAGTTCTCAACCCATTAGGGCAGTTCTTTTGATCCACCCATGGCATCAAACCACAGAAGCCTTGAGGATAAAGGATGTGGCCTCCAGATCTTGTCACCTCTTGTACATCTCCCACCAGATCCACGGCAGGCTCTACAAAAAGTACTGAATAGTTCAGCTCTAGCACTCCTTACCCAAGAACTAAGGAAAAGGGTAGGATTAAGGCACAAATCAGAAGTACTGACACAAGAATATCATCATGACAGGATGCAAACCTTACAGACAATGAACTACTCAGTCAAAGGATCAAAGCAGAAGACTTGAAGACTAGGTTGCAGTTTCTTTACCACCTGGCAGAGAAGAAATTTCTCAGTTTTAACAATCTCTGCCTTGGAAAGTTGCCACCAGCCATTCAGAAGCCTAGGTCTGCTACAGGTGTCACAGTAGCGAAGAACAGTCCAACCAAGCAGAGAGGAAGGTTCATGGTCTCTTCCCTACAGCACTCTCCAGAGTACTCGGTACTGCAGCAGCATTCATAATGCAGTCTCTTACCTAGGCTAGGAGAGGGCTGCTGGGGAAGCAGGTAACAAGTGAGAACTTTCTCCCCTGTCTTTTCATCATCCTCTGTTTGGAATTTCAGCATGGGCTGGGACTGATTTTCTGCCAGCCACAGGGCTTTCAGGTTAAGGTTTGTCAAAGCAAATGGCAAGTTCTGCAGTCTGCAAAAGAAAATAAGAACTGCTCATTAAAATTACTTGGTAATGAAGGAACTTCAACTCAGCTCCAGACTGCCTCAACCTGCATTGGAGGACAGAGCCAAGCCACCGCAGGGTCCCTCACTCCTATACTCACTGAAGCAGCTGGCTCATGTTGCATATGGCTCTGCCACAGCCACAGACTGGACTCCAGTGACCCACCCTCATCATTTTTTAGCAGACAACAACTCCCATCAACAATGTGGAAATGGTGAACTTTTGAAGAGGGGTTTGAAGACAGAAAATGATGCTTCCATAGACCAGTATACAGTGTTCCAAACAGAAGTTCTGGTTAGCTTCCAACTGGTACAAAAAATACCAGCCTCAGCTAACAGAACTGCAGCTAAAATCTGCAGAATCTTTCAGACCAGATCACAGATATTTGGACACTGTGGGTTTTTGGTTGTTTTTTTTTTTAACTAAAGGTTTTTAACCTGTTTACCTCTAGTCTCTGAATTCCAGGCTTTCTAAATAGCAAAGCCCCAAATTGTTAAACTGCTGCATGTAACATGGCACCTGGCAGAAATTTCACCTTCCCATAGTCAGGATACAGAAACAGCCAATGAATCGCATGCAAATCAGGAAAGAAAAGCGTCTCTATCCCTGCATTAACTGCAGACCTGTGGCAGCCTGAGTGGTGCTCAGGCTGCGCTTTGTACAGGCCTGCTAACTGGACTGAATTTTACTCTATATGCCAACAGTCCCAGTGAGACACCCAAACAGCACTGGCACACTAGTCACGTTGGCAAAACAATGGAGAAACTGAGCTGGCACTGGCTGGAGAGAAAACCTGAGGAATAAGAACCAGGTGTGTCTCATGTAGCTGTCAGGTACTCGGAATCAAGCAAATACAAGTACATTTGTATTTGCAGAGAACTGATAGCCAGCCCAGTGCTCACTTCAGGCCACTACTAGGGGCCAAAGGCTGAACAGTCTTGGCATAGAAAACAGATACAGCTAAAAGACACTCCAGGGCTTGTATGTTATGATGTATGCCTGAGTGCGTGTGTGCACGCTGGGTGGGGGTGCTGATGAGAGGAGGAGATGCTTTTCTACTGGACTGGGAAAAGAAACACTGTATTCCTCCACAGACAGCATTCAGAGAGATGTCTCAGCACATCAAAAGGCTCAGCTCGTCAAAAGGCTTTGGCACCCATCACCTGAGGACTGATGACATAAAACTACAAAATCTGTAGGAAGACAGACAGTGGACCAGGGGTTTCCCCTGATCTTTATTTCACACATGGCAAAATGTCCCCATGCTTCTGCATTAGCTCTACCCTGTATTCAAGTATCAAAGAGAAGGGCTTAACAGGCAAAGCTTGAGAGATACACGCCCTCTTTCCAGAGCCCCAGGTGGCCAGTCTGGGCTTCTCCAAGCCATGGATCCTGGGACGAGCACAGATCCAGTGTCTCCCAAAACACACTAAGGCCCAGCCCATGCTGTTCCTTCACAGTAGCCTCCTCAGCCCATGCTGTTCCTTCACAGTGGCCTCCTCAGAAAAGCCTGTTTACCCTTCCTGCTACTGACCTGTTCCCGGCCACATCCAGGACGTGAAGCTCAGTGGTGTTGGCAAGCTCTGGTGGCAAGAGGGCCAGGCGATTGTCTCGCAAGGACAGCACATTCAGATTGGCACAACCTCCAATCTCAGCTGGAAGGGATGTTAGCCTGTTCCGATCCACATTCAGGTTTGTCAGCTTGGCCAGCTTGCCGAGGGACTTTGGTAAGGCCTAGGAAGGAGATGATTCAGTAGTTGCAAAAGATAAGAGCAACAGAATAAAGGAATAAAGGCATAAAGCCCTCTATCCTGGGGGAAAAAAAGCTGTCTCCTGTCCTAATAGACTAATTTTTTATAAAGTTCACACTACAACTTTGGGACAGATTTTCCCTGAGGTTCACAAACTGTTACACGCCAATTCTTCACCTCAGTGTAGCACACTCAGAACACCACTGGTCAAGGTTTTTCTCCTATTCACGTGTCCATGCCCAATACTTGTGTTTTAGCAATCAAATCATGAGTAGTTTGGAGCAGGGCCATTTTAAATTACACTGTTCCATGGCCACTAGCCAAATGCAGCTTTTGACATAGTCCTGCTCCCATCAGATTGGATGGGCTTCAGGACTGGGTATCCTAGAGCCAGCATCCTAGCTATCCCAGAGAATTTTTCAGAGGGGAAAAAAAAAACAGTTTAAGAAAGCAGCTTCCACCAGGTCTTCTCAAGAGCCTGTGAGCTAGGGGAAACTATGCATCAAAGCAGCTGAAGGGAGAGCAGCTGGAGCATGCTCAGGAATCAGGTTCAGAGGCCAGATGATGGGAAAAGATCCCTGACACGTGGCTAAACTGAACAGCACAGGAGAGGCAGGGTGGTTGCTGGTGTACTTACTGTCAGCATGTTCTCTGTCAAGATGAGTTCTGACAGATTTTCACAGTCCCCAATTGACTCTGTCACCTCTGTCAGCCGATTCTGGTCCACCTTGAGGATGGAGAGCTGCTTCAGCTGACCTGGCCAGGGCAACAAGCTAGGTGTGAACTATGCCACAGAGGTAATGACGCTGTTCCATGTTCATCTGGCCAAAATGGGATTTCTCTCCCATCAGGGATTATGTAACCTAACAATACAGGCACTACCTTTCTTCCCCACCAGGCCTGTTCACAGGTTTCACCCATGCATTATGCAGATCAAGAACCTGAACTCATCCTGCAGAGTTCTGCTCACCAGTATCATCTACTGCTTCTGCACTCAACCACTGTGACTATGTCCATCAAGTCCTAATACCTTGTTACACACACTCTTGCCTGAAGCTCCCCCGCCAGGACCACTGCTGGGGCAGTGAAGTCCTGCACTGCTCCCCATCCTGCAATACTCACCAATCCCATCCGGAATGCATTCCAGCAGGTTCTGTGACAGGAGCAAGTCTGTCAGGGCTACTAGCCCACTGACTTCATTGGGCAACTGCTCCAGCTTGTTCTCCGACACATCCAGGCAGACCAAGCGGCGGAGATTGCCCAGTTCCTAGGATCAGAAAGGAGACACTACAGCTCGAGGGAGCAGCTGAGGAAGGGAGCAAAGTGGTGAATCAATGAGCCTGAACAGGTACTCACTGGAGGCAGGGCTGAGAGCTGATTCCGGTCTAACCAAAGCTCACGCAGGTTTGGTAGCGCTCCCAGAGTATCTGGCTGTAACAGAGCAGGACAGTAATAGCATCAGTCCCTTCCAGAGGGGAGAAGCTGCTCTAGGATGCTACAAATCACACCATACCTCTGCAAAGCTAGACATTGTTATTGCTTTCACACAACCTAGAACCATTCACCAAATGGTTTACGAAGCTAACGTGTTGGTGTGCCACAATATAGCGGCACATACGTCTGCAAATGTCTGAGATGGCATACCAGCTGCAGAAGGTCCCAACAGGAAAAATGGAAGACAACAGCAAGGACTGCCTGGTAGCAGGCAAGACAAGAACTAAAGATGGCTTCAGAAGTTCTGGCCTTATGGAAGAAATGAGTCTTTCTCCTCCTCCTCCTCTCAGACATGAAAACAAACATTTGGGTAACACTGGCCAACCCAATATGACATAGCAGCACCGTCAGCAATGGTAGACATATGTTCATAGCATCACTCCATTTGCTATCAACAAACACCACACACTTGGTTAGCATTTGGGTTTGGAGTTAATGCACCACTGAAGTGCGGTTCAAATGTCAGACAACTGTTCTCACAAGCAGGCTGCAGCCTCGTGCATAGCATGCTACACAAGCTGCTCCTTTGCCTCCCAATTTAGATGGCTTTCTGCCAAAAAGCATTCCAGAACATTCAGAGCAGGATTCAGTAACAGCTTGATCCATAGCTGCAAAATTAAAGAACATCACTGAATGTGCCTGAATGTCAAGACAAGCTGAATTCTGAGACTGTCCACTGGCTGTCAGCATGCTTATGCTCAGAGCCCTCCATGGAGGCACCCCAGTACAGAGGGCACACCCCTCATGCTTGGCTGACTTCACTGCAGGGAACAACACAGAATGGTCCTGCACTTACTAGTAGAGTAATCAAATCAGAGAGGAGAAAGGCAGAAAGTTGGCCTAGCAGATGTGAAAAACAACAGCCGGGGGCAGTGCAGCACAGAAGAGAAAGGAAGTACCAAACAGAGAGTCTCATTGGAAAGGAAAGATCCTTAGGCAGCTAGATAGCGAGAATGAACAGAGCAGAAGGGCTTGGAAAGAGCAGAGTAAGTTGTGCATGAGGACAGTAAGAAGCAAGACACGAGGGCCAACACACAAAGAGAACGTTATGCTTGGAACAATGACTAGGCCATGGTGGGCAGATCAGAATCTTCCCAAACAACCTGAGGGTCTATTTCTTTGTATTTCAGATGAAAAACCACTTGCTTCCACAGAGATACAGGGTTCTGCCCCTACCAACCACCCATATTCCCTCCCCACCATCCCGCACCTACCAGTACTTCCAGGTCATTGCCACCAAGATCCAACTGTTCTAACTTGACAAGGAAGGAGAGTGAACTGCAAGATACAGGGAGTAGAGAGGGGAAGAGAGAAGAAAAAAAAAAAAAAAAGAAAGAACGAACGAACGGAAGGTTAGCATCTGGGATACACATCTCTCAAATTATATAATTTTTTTAATACCTCCTAAAACAGGTGGGGCAATCCTGACCTTTTTCATAGTCCCTCTGAGCCAAGCAGTTTAGGGCAGTTGGTTCCCTTCCCCAAGCCAGACCATCTGCACCAGGGAATTGGGTTCAGTAGCACCAGCAGTCACAAAGTGGCCAGTTTCCGCTCTGTCACCAATTTGCCTTCTCCCCCTCACACCATAAAATACTCTTTGAGCAAAAACATGACAGATGACAAGCCACACCTTAACATTGCCGCCCATTTTTGTAGCAAAGATGGGGACCTGGGCACAGACTAACAGATAACAGGAGAGTGTCAGCAGAGCACAATACATATTTGGGGGGCAAGGGGAGCACAGCTGCAGGGAGCGGCAGGAATGACAAATGCAGCAGCCTCAGTTTCCCCGAATGGGATGCCCATGCTGCTTATGAGAAAGGAAAAGACAACATTGGCACAATGTCTCAAAAGAGGTCAAGACGTACAGACAAGAAGCTCACTAGGCAAGATACTGAACGAAATCTGCATGGGAACCAAAGCCTGTTGACACTGGTGGTCCAGGGATGTGCCCCGAGTACCCAAACACATTACGATCTGGTGATATGAAAGGCTGCAGCCCACAATCCCACAAAACCAGGACTGAGTTCTTCTGACATGGCTTGGGAGTTCATGTGTCCTCAGCTCTCAGTTCTACCCCATCAACTCCACCTCCCACCTCCCCAAACATGAGTTGCTGTCTCTCACTTCACACTAGGGCAGAACTGCCATCTCAGCCCTGCCCACTTCCCCAGCAGGGAGGGTCTTCAGTTCTTTTTATTTTCTTCATAAGGAATTGTCCTAATGGAGAAATCACTATATTTCTCTGGAAAAAGAGCTATACATCTCAACACCACTCAAACTAAGGAAGTTGGGGGCTGCAAATCTGTGAGAAGACAATAAAAGAGATCTGTCTTGCCTGGGCCAGGCTATAAAAATATTTGAGCTACACAGGAAAAGCAAGTTCTTATCTTATGCAGTGGTGGATTTTGAGGTATTAACTCAAGCAAAGGCTTATCAACAGGATCATCAAAAGGACTGTTGTACAGAAGTCTCTCATTATGACTGTACATTTGCTCTTTGACTTTTCTGAAGGGTGAAGCAGCCTTGACTGTCCCTTCACACCTTCATAGTTTGAATTCCCAAAATAGGGACAAGTGAGCTGGGGAATCCATGTTGCTACACGAGGTCTTGCAAAATGCCTCAGTATAGATCACCCTCCGCTATTCCATAAGAATACATCAATGAGAGTTACCCTTCCCAAATTATTGGTAAGCTGCGTCCCATCTGCATGGGACAGATGAGAGTGGTAATCAGCTGTACAAGACAAACTGCTGTTTCAGAACTCAGTTGACAATAGAAAACTAACCAATGAAATTAAATTTTGACAAGTAAAGGTCATTGCCAGCTGGATCTTTTAAGGAGCTCAATAACAACAAAAATCAAAAGGATACTGATGCATTACGCAGTCACAAATTCACAGTATTGAAACCCATCTACCTGCTGGGCTCAGTAACCTTGAAAACTGAAAGCATCATCCATTTTGGTAAGTCATTCTACTCTTTGGCAAGATCACTTGGACTTGTTTAGAGCCATTCCTGGGCACAATTTTACCAGACTAGTAGAAGAGCTTCAGAGCTGGGTAGACCACTGAAATTGCTTTGGCCATTGATTTCAATCTCATATTTGACTGACAGATCTGACAAAAATTGCCTTGGCCTTCAAGATCCTCTTCTACCTTTGGAAATCATCCAAAAGTAGAATTTGGGGAATTGGGGAAAGATGAAAAGAAGCTGGACTTGCACTGCAGAAAGAGTATCAAGCCTGGACTTATCTTTCAGACAAAAAACCCCCAAAACTCATAGCACGCTACAAGTATCTTGCTGGATGGCATACAAATCTAACAGGGAAACAAGGGAGCACTGGGCATGAGAGATCTCCCCAGAAACCATATGGGTTTGGTCACAGACTGAATTCTCAAACTCCAGATATTTGCCAGTTCCTAGATGATGAAAAGCCGTTGAGACCATTCTTCACTGTAGTTTGAAAGCCCCACTTTGGATGTAGCTATTGGAGCTCTTCGTTTATATGGTGTATCACAGTTGTGGTCCCTGTCTGTATGAACACAAAGAACACATGGAACAGACAGCAGTGGGTCCCAGCACCAGGACCCAAACTTCTCCTGCTTGCCTGTTCTCAGCCTGGCACAAGGAGCTTTGGCTCTCACGTTCTCCCTTGTGGCCTACATTCCATGTGGGGCCAACTCAGCTGGTCTCTTAATATCGCCTTTCTGTGACAGAGCGCTAATGCTGACAACTTCTGTGCAGAAAAGATCCAGTGACTTTGGTATCAGAGACAAGATGACAGTGTTAATTTGAACTATGCTTCTACATCATGTAATGACCAGATGTGAAGCCTGCGAGCTGACCAGTGCAGACTCTTTCAGTTCCTTTTTGGAAGTGTCTTGTCCTCTGGGTCAAAGCTGACATATGAATTCTACAAACAGATATAACTGATGTCATATAAAACCTGTACTTGGCAGGTCCCAGAGGAAAATAACCATCAGGAAGAGCATGCACCCGAGTCAAAGCAACGTCTCACAGTGAAGGGAGGCATGGCCATCACAGAAGAAGCAAGACAAATCCCTGACTGCTTAGAGTCTCAAAGCCTTGCTTGAACACTGTATCATCACATGCCTCCTTTGCCCCCTTTTTTTAAATAAAGCAGAGGAGCAAGGGGGGAAGCACAGATAACCAAACTGAACACTTACCATGAATACTAAGAGGGCACTGAGGAAAGGTGACAATAGTTGCATGCTTCACACATTCACTGAGGATTTTGTGTGGGCCCAAAACACACTGCTATTCAAAAAGAAGTCAGGTAGAATCCCTTCCAACATATATTCAAGGAATCATAGAATCATAGAATGGTTTG